AGGATCATGTACTCACACTACAGCACATCAGGATCATGTACTCACACTACAGCACATCAGGATCATGTACTCACACTACAGCACATCAGGATCGTGTACTCACACTACAGCACATCAGGATCGTGTACTCACACTACAGCACATCAGGATCATGTACTCACACTACAGCACATCAGGATTGTTTACTCACACTACAGTGCCTTTACTACTCCCTGCTTTCAGGATTGCTGTCAGACCTGCTTTTCTTCATGCACTAGGAAAAGAGGAGGCTCTTTCTCACTGTAGAGCAGAGAGCTATCTGATTACCATGTACTTCTAACTTAATGTCTTTAATGTCTTTGTCTTTCCCTTTTTTCCCTAATTATCTCACTCCTAATATTCCCTCAGACAAACAAATGTATATTAATTATCCTGCAAATGTTTTATTCATAACCAGTATTTTGGTAACACTATTGTATAATTTTATAGGACAGGTTTAAGTACTATGTTTTTATCCTACATGTGTTTGCATATAGTTAGCTAATGTACTTTAAATTTTAGAAGCAGTTTTTAATTTTACTAATAGCAGTGGATCTTATTTAAATATTATATATAAACATTGTTTATTATATATATATGTATAAGTATTATACACACACACACACACATAGGCGAACAAATGTCTCATTAGTCATCTATTCCCAGTATTCCCAGTCATAGTAGAAGAAAATGAAAACTGAGAAAGCAATCTCCCTGCTGTTATCTTTCAGTATTACAGAACAATATTGAAAACCGGGACCACAGCACATTCTGCAGGAATGTGGTTCTCTGCTCAGTCTTAAAAAGCCCAGCAGCAGCATTCTGACACCATCACCTGCTCTGCAATAGCATCTTTCTTCTCAGGTTTCTCTAAGAACATAGTTTGGTACCCACAGAATCTTGTTCCTAGTCTCTTGTTCGTTGAGATGTAGTATTTCTAACTGAGGCAGCCGTGAAACCAATAGCTAGAGTTGCATTTCTGTGTGATGATCACATGGCATCCATAAAACTCTATAGAACTCCATAAAAGAAGAAAATCACCACAAGTCTTCGGCCAGTCAATTTTATTGTTTTCATGCCTCAAATACTACATTTTCATTGAGAAGCATATGGAAAATAATGAATACTTTGTATTGTGAATTATCTGGTTTTGGGCCTTGTATGTGTCTGAACTGTTGCATGTAAGTATTTTGTAATTGGATATATTTCAAAAGCACCAGTATTCATGTGTTTTAAGACCCTAACAGTGTTATTTCTTTTTCTAGTCATTTGCCTCGTGGGATTGGGCCTGGTGGTCTTCTTCTTCAGTTTTCTACTTTCAATATTTCGTTCAAAGTACCATGGCTATCCATATAGGTAATATAATTTATACTAATATGGATGTTTTTATTTTAAAGGAACAGTATAAGTATTTTAGTGGTTAGTTGGAGTTAATATTAAGTATTTAAATCACTAGTTGTTATTAAGACAAATCTGAGCACCCAGCATTTGTTCAGCATCATAGACTGTGCAGAGACAGTTCTTGTTAATATCATGTATTTTCATTTTAGAATGCATGTACATGTGTATCTACATAGGTACAAAATGATCTTTAGGTAACATACTTTGACATAATCACTTCTCTCTGTTTATTTTTAATAATCAATACCTTATTTTCAAGATTATTTTCTTATAGAATCTACTCCTCCATTTTCTTTAAAGTTGCAGCATCTTTGGGATGCTGCAAACTTCTAATAATAGGACCAGACCATCTGAATCTAAGTCCCTGTCTGCTTACTCTATTTCCAATGTGAGTTGAGCTTCCACCGTATAAGGGGACTCATTCCCTGTGATGGCTCCACTATTCTAGAGTTGGACTCTTGGGATTGCTAATGTAGATGAATTCTCTTAAAATAACACAAGACATGGGCATCATCCTTAAGAATTGGTTTGTTACTATGAAATTCAAAAGGTTAGATGAAAACACAGGAGGAGTTGGTGCAAATTAACAGAGTCAGTGGAAATAAAGCTGGTCAAGAGAGCCTAGGAACCCCAGTGTTCTAACAAGAAGAGATCAGAGCGAGGAAGCAGAAGGCAGACTTTCCAGGCACTCAGACCTGTGCTGTGCTGTTGCAGTGAGGAGGAGGGTCAGCCTACTTGTTTGTATTTCAGTTAAGAAATTACTTTCTTGGCTTATGTTCTAATCTTCTTTAGGAATTCCTGCATGATTTGGCTTTCATTCTATTCTAACATTTCATTCTTTTTTTAATCATTTTATTCATTTACATTTCAAATGATATCTCCCTTCCTGGTTAGCCCTCCACAAACCCTGCACTCCATCCCCTCTCTCCCCCATTCTCCTTGCCTCTGTGAGGGTGCTCCCCCAGTCCCGCTTCACCCCTCAAGCATTCCCCTACACTGGGGCATCGAGCTTCCACAGGACTGAGAGCCTCAACATTTCCTTCTTTTCTCACAATTTTTAATTCATTCCATTATATACTCATAACCTTTGATTTCCTCTGTATGAAATGATCCTTTCTTGATTAAAATACAAGTCAATAATCTGAAGTTGACCCACACATTTTTTCACACAAAGTTCAAAATTTCTATTTTCTTTTTCTTCATATATGTATCTGCCCGAAGTATAACATCTACTTATGTATCTGTCATGCTTTCTTTTTTATTATCTTTATTAATCTTTTTTATAGTCCAGTCGTTATCCTCCTCCTGTTCTGTCCTCTGACAGTTCCTCATCCCATTCCTCCTCCCCTGTCTCCAAGAGGATGTCCCCACATCCCCACAACCCCTGACACACCCCGACAGGCCTCCCCACTTCCTGGGGCCTCCAGTCTCTCAAGAGTTAGGTGCTTCTTCTCTCACTGAGGCCCTGCCGTGCTTTCTTAAGGCTTCTTCATTTTAGTACTGAGAGTATGCTACACCACCAGCCTGTTCCGTACTACCATTAAATTCACAGACCGCCTTTGAGGCCTTGATAACCAGACCTGTCCTGAATCCAATCTGATTGAAACCACAAATTGTTTAACTTTTCTAGGTGTTCTTATTTATAAAGAAAGTTTTATGGACCTCATTTTTATTTGTATGAGATTATATATGTAAATAGCATAGAACACCAGTAATAGTAGTAATTAATTACTCAATAAATGTTTAATGCTAATTATCATTAATTCTGGTATAAATATTTACACTCATATTTTACTTTTCTCTAAATGGAGTTTTCCTCACTGTGCACACCAAGTAGCTTTGGTTCATTTTTACATAATTCATCTGAGTGAAGAACTGATTTTTACTGAACCTTTTGATGAATTTAATTGGGCTCCAGAGTCCCTTGAAACTTGCCAGTAAAATATCAAGATTCTTAGATATTTTATTTAATTATCATTTGACACATAATTCAGAAGACATTTTATTTTGCTGGTAGCACTGACTTAATTTTATATATTGAATAAAAATTGACCTTATCCTTTACTGGGTTTTCTAAGAACACAGTGCTGGTATGGATAGATTTTGGTATCCACTTAGAGATAATTAATAATTATCTTCTCAGCCTTCTCTATTGGCAATCAGACATACATGTATTTTCTATAGACGTCTCTAAAAACATCTGTGGATCATCAAAGTCCCTACTACAGTAGGAGAGAGCATTAGATGTCTGTATTCATTCCACCACTGTGTGTTCAACTGTCTGATCAGTCTTTTTAACGGGCTCTGAGCAACAGAAGTAGCCTCGTGAGAAAATGGTAATTAGAAGCAGAAGATCTGGATGCGAGTTCTGGGTGTGCTTTTGCACTTTACATAAGAGCTCCTACTCTGTAGTTGCATAAGATCGGATTGAAATATCTAAGATCTTTTTGTTAATTTAGAGTCTTAGAATTAGCATCTTCCTTCTAATTTTTCCCTCAGCTTTGGTGTAGTTGTTTTAGGGGGCTGGAGACAAGTAGCTAAAGGTATCTCGTTTCTGTACCCATGTCGCTATCATTAGCTATTTTTGTATGTGCTTATACATACAAAAATAATGGGCATCATCCCTAAGAATTAGTTTGTGACTATTGAATTCAAAAGGTTAGATGAAAACACAGGAGGAGTTAGTGCTAAGCAGCAGAGTCAGTGAGAAGAAAGCTGGTCTAGAGAGACTGGGAACCCCAGTGTTCTAGCAAGAAGAGATCACCTTACATACCTACCTCAGAGTCATGTGTGAATACTTCCATAGTCTGTGACATGCTCTCGGTTCTCAATGACTTCACTTATCCTCTCTTCATCTGCACCAGGCATCTTAGCATTCACTCATCACCTCACTGCATTGCATTGTTGGGTTCCGTTTTTATGTACAATCACCCATGTGTTTTCATTCTTTCCTTTGTAGAAGACTATATTAAGGGAAATAGAACTTGACACATTTTTTGTCAACAAAGGTCTGTGCACATAGTAGGTACTTAACATATACTTTCCAATTGAATGTTTTTCTCAAAAACATTGCCCACCTTAGGGTAATATAAAAGCACCATTAAAGCAGAGTAGAGAGCATTGGCCTGTATCCTTCTCCAACGCCAGGAGCTCTTGATTCCTGTTGAGTAACATACCTGGAGTTCTGCACTGCCTCATACAACTAAGATGATTTATGGAAAGATAGTTGAATAAAAAGCACACAGTCGGCCCAGAAATTTGTTCTCATCTTAGAAAAGCACATGGAGTTCATGATGCCTTTTGTTATTTTGAGTTATGATCGATAACATTAAAATATGTGATGACATTCAGTTGAGGGACTTCATAAGAGCAACTAGAAATAAAAGACAGGTAAATTTTAGAGAAAAGATGAGCATGAACAGGCATAGCAAGGGGGAGGAAACTTGTGGCATATAGTGCTTACATATTTCATATTTACTTATACATCTCGGATATCCATCTCTCATCTACTAGGACAATGCAAAATCTGGAACGGTAAGAATATAGAAAAGGTCTGATGTGTAGATTGCATGACAGTGCCAAGAATTCACTGGTGCTGCCTTTCTTGTGCTGAGTTCTAGCTCTGAAGAATGCATAAAGCCCAGACAGATGATTCAGAAAACATGGGGGTGCTCTAAAGGCGTCAATGTCTGTTGGTGCTCTGGTCTAGACTAAGAATTCAGTCTAAATCTTATAATAATAATGTGCAAACAGAAATCGAGTCTTAAGGATTATTTTTTCCATATTGTTGTATTTCCTTGTGGTGTATTGGAAAGTGATCTGGACATTGAGTGAGAAGATGTGATTTGGACCAAGGCACTTAAAACTCTGTACCCTCAGGCAAGTCCTTTCATTTTCCCCGCCTTTCAAATAAAGACCATGATGCATCTCTTCAGTTACAGTAAGATGCTACTTTATAGACAACTGACATAAGCCAGATTGCAGCCTGACAAGCCTTACTTTGCTACTATAAGGACAAGGCTCCCAAGTAAATGATACCCATAGTCTTTGGCAAACTATGTTATTTAAGTAATAATATACGAACACATCCCCTCTACCTTGGCTGATTTTTGTTGTCACTTTACAGAATATAAAACTGAATCAGTTGACAGAAATATTAAATTCTACCCAGTAAAAAATGTAGGCAAATCCCATTTATTAACAATATAAATCTTAATATTCAATATTAATATAAAAATAAGTCCAAAATAATTTAATACAATGTTTAGAATGGTGTCTGGATTCTTCACTATACATCCTTAAATCAAAAATCTCAGAACAGTAGTATCCTAGAGTTATTTCTATAGTAGACTGCAGCTTCCTTACTGCACCAGGAGCTTCCCCCATTGAGCAGTGCTGAAAGGAAAGGAGGTCCAAGTAAAGTATTTACCTGTGCCTAGGCTTTAGTAATAGTCAGGTCATCAAAATTCCTACGTAGTGTGTCTCTCTGTAAAAATTCTGTAGATAACTGACCTTGTCAGTAGTTAAACTTGGAAGTTATTGCCTTCTGTAACTATACATAGAGTAATATCTTCTCTTGAGTCTCTTATTACTAAGAAAAGCCAGAATTTTGTAAGGCCTTGTCAGAAGATAAGCTGTTTCAGAACTGAAGAGTTTCCAGGGTGCTATAGTCTCTTAGTAAAGAAAGAGCCTCAGGACTTTAGGCCAATGAGATCTCCCTAAGGGCAATAAACATCAATGGCCACATGAATCAGTGAAAGCATTAGCTCCAAGGGGTTAAAAGTCAACTAGTGGTCAGTTGTGGTACATACCTGCCTTGGGAGATGAACGCTGGAAGTGCCAGTCTTGGCTACACAGTAATTCCTTGCCTCCAGCATTAAAAAAGAAAGATGAGAATCCAGCCCGTTTTGTACTTAATGGAGAAGTGAGGTCCTTCTTTCCTCTGATCAATTTGATGAGAAACCTGACAGTTTCCCATTTACCACATAAGGGGTTCTTATAGGAGAGTCTACCTGACCACTGGAGCTCCTGATTCTTCCCTTGGCTTGAGAACATGAAGAGCAGTGAATGAGAAAAAAAATGCAGTTAAACATCTCAATACCTAAGTAGCTTTTAAGATGTACAGAATGCATTTGTTGAAAGCACTGTGCACATCCTGTGTTTTCAAAACACCAGGAAGAGGTCAAGAGGTGAAGACAGAAGAGGAAGGGTGGGGCACTGTTTCCAGCATCTCATGCCTTAGGAGAGTCCAGAGACTCTCAGAATCTTCAGCCCACGACCTCCCTAGCAATGAATTGACTATCTCTTCCTTTCAATTTCCAAGGCCTAGATTTTGTAGCATGGCACTCACTCCTCTTGTTTTTTCTTTTTTGATTATCTCAGCACCAACTCTATTAGCCTCGAGATCCAGAGCTGAGTAGTTGCTTGAGCAGCTCAATTTCTACATGCCCCCCTTAATCTCCGCATCCAGATGATGGCATCTCCCATTTTTTCCTGTTTTCATTTTCTCAACTGACATAGGAGTTGGAAATTGTAGACTCCTTCTACTCAGCCCACCTCTTCATCGTAGGCTGCTAAATGGTCTCTTTTCACTCCTGCCATTTTAATGATATTCTCCATACTGGGGACTTTCAGTCTAGAGAAAAAAAATATAAGGACCATGGTTTGTCCTTCCACTTCCTGTGCCTCCTTCTGTACTCAACAGTGATCATCAACAGCACTTTCCTAACTACTGGTTTAAAGTGACTCTGAGAAGAGGCTATAATTTGAGAAAATTTGAACCATGTGCTTCTATAAGCAGTTATTTTGAATTTTAGGTGATGACCTTTCTAGTGTGCTTCTGGACTCTCAAGGGGAGCATTTTTTTTTTCTGAATCCTGGATATGAAGAAAACAGCCACCATAAGGAATCATTTGAGATCATCCTCCCATTTTATATTATACACTAGTATTCCTCAGCATCCCTTACATACTTTGGTCAGTAGTAAAGGTTCAGAGACAACAAAACACAACTCCATACCTTCAGCTAAAAGAAAGGAAGTGTTTAAGGCTATCTGTATGGTTTTCCACATGCTTTTCAGTGTCCACATGAACAATTCACTCCGTTACTCATTAGCTTCTAGTTTAGATTGTCACCTCAGTTAACAGAGCATATATTCCCATCAGTACTAGCCAACCATCAGTCAGTGCAATGAATAGTCCTGTAGCCACAGTGATAGAGAGTCTTTTGAGGACAGCAAGATGTGAGGCAGCATCCAAGTCAGCAGCTTGTTCCTTCAGAAAATTGACATCATTGATATTGATAACCGTTATCAGTCATGATACTGATAAATAATACAAGGGAAATATTCAGGCATCATCCTCAGTATACGTATAAAAGAACAGTTCCACTGTTTGACCATGTATCAACATTATTAACCAGGAACAGATAAAGAGAGAAGAGATACATTAGATCAAGCTAGATAGAAATAAGATGTACCAATAAATAAATAAATAGACCATAAACATCGCTATCAATATGTCTTTATATAGTAAAACATCCTGAATGATTACCCAGAGAATAACAGCTGGCTCCCTTCCAAGAAACATTTTTTAAAGGTTTTATTTTATATGTTTGTGTGTTTGCCTGCATGCATGTATATTCACAACATTCATGCCTAGTTACCGTAGACCAAAAGAGGGCATGTGATCCAATGGAATGGGAGTTACGGATGGCGTTAAGCCACCATTTGGTAGGTGGGAACTTAAACTGAGGTCCTCTAGCCAAGAGTAGCAGTGTTTACTAGACTTACCTTTTAAAGTAAGACATTTAATAAATTAGTTTGATGACATGTGTCATTTCATAATGACATTTAAATTGATTATTGTAAAAATAATAATAATAATAATAATAATTAAATACTGAGTATTTTGGTTTGGCAAAAGCACCCCAGAGTGAACAGGTAACATCTTTAAATCATGAGTTAATTTTTATGCTACGAATGTAATCATAGGGGACTAGGGAGCTAGCTCAGCAGTTAGGAGCACTGGCTGGAATTGCAGAAGCCCCAGGTTCAGTTCCCAGCAGCATGGCCGCTCACATCTTCACCTCCAGTCCCAGGGGGTCTGACACTATGTTCTGGCCTCTGGGTACCAGGCACATAAAAGATACACAGACATACATGCAGGCAAAATATACATACAAGTAAATTTAAGAATAGTGTAATCTCAGAGTTCCTTCAATTCTGCAAATATGACATTCTTTTTTATAATCTTTCTAGTTGTAAAAAGACAAAAGTATAAAGGTAAAAGTATAAAAGTCTTTTTTCTTTAATGGAGATGTGTTTTTAGCAGTAATAGGAGCTTAGGTTGTAAGTAATTACTCTTTTATATAAGCAAAAGAATTATAAATGTAGTGAAAAATAGGAACTTCTTTAAGAAACTCAAACAGATATTACTTCAGTCCATTCCCTTTAGTCCCCTATGTCTCCATTGTAACTGCTGATCTAGCTGCTGCTCACTTAACACATACTCTGTCACCTCTGACCCAGTCCTCTCTGTAAACCTGACCCCATTACAGGGACTCCTTTCAAAAGCAGACCCTAATAGCAGTTTCAATTAGCTGAATGTAATTATGGTATTTTTTTTTACATTTGTGTGAGCTAATTTAGAATGGAACAAATAGCTTGTTGTGTTTTTCTTTTGCTCAGTATGTAATAATTTCTTTTCTTTTTCAGCTTTTTAATTAAATGAAGCCAAATGGGATTTGCATAAAGTGAGTGTTTACTGTGAAGAGAAGCTGTTCCTGACATTGTATTATTTGGAATTCTTGAGGTTCATTCTCTGTTGATTGTGATACACTAGCTTATTCTTGTATAATTTTTTTAAACTGTGGATTTTCCTAAAACATTTAATTTATAGAAATGAATGTGTAACATTCCGTAATCTGCAATGGACTATCCAAGTGTTTTTAAATATTCTCAATGTATGCCACAGGAGTGAAATAAATGACATTGTAACTATGAATTCATGTTTTAGAACTGTGTATGCTCCTAAGTAAGGAATCCACGTGTTAGTAAAGAAATCCATGGAATGTATGTAAAAGAATTGCTAGTACTGTACAAGGATAGAGCATATGCATGAAATATGTCGTGTGGACAATAAGTCTTTCTTCAGTTTCACTTATAAAGGACGTACACTGGTACAAAAGTGTTTTGTTATTCTTCTTCACAACTAGATCATAAAAAATATATAGGACAAAGAGCTGGATAAATGTTAATGCCAGTTCAGATCCTTAGCCTAAAGAAAGGAACTTTCGGGGAACCTAAGACTTCACCATGCACTATGTCACCGTACCTCCAACGGAATCAGGCAGTAGAAATGGCACATCGCGACATCGTGACTGTCACTCACTATTTCACCCTTTTTTTTTTGAAGCCCTTTACAAATTCTGACTCATCCAATCTAGTCTTCTGTGGTTACTTTTGTTTATAGTCTTCTGTGGTCACTTTTGTTTAATAGAAGTATCTGCCTTATCAACATGCAGGGACCTAGATCCCTGTGAATTCTTAGTTTTCCCAGAATGACTCAAATGAAGCTTTTTGATAACCAAATACAGAAGGAGTATAACTGTTGTTACTTTGTAACGAACATAAATGTGTATAGTATACCCATGTATGTCAAGGTATTTATTCCTCACATCTTTTAAACGGACAGGAAATGCAAGAACATGTCTGTGAGTTACAGAGATAGTATAAACCAGCTAAAACCCAAAATATAAGTTGTACTTATAATCATTTTTTTTTAAACTCTGTACTGCAACTGGAAGATGAGTTCAGGAAAGGTTTCTTTGTGTCGGTATGTTTTAACATTTTAAAAAGCTTTTTAACTAACTTTCATTAATATCTGAATAGCAAAAGTGTGGAGTGATTTATCCATTGGCAGTCCCAGCTCTATAAACACAAATAGGAGTTGGGTTATCCGTTGAGTGCACTTATGTTGTACATAGGAATTTCTGTGAAGGTGGGAGCTATAAAGGTTTAATGGAACATGTTTATTCAGCTGTATCCTAGGAGAATGTTGTCTTTCAAAACGTGATAATATTTTTTCAAATTACATAATAATTTAGAACTATATTAACTTTATTATATACTCTGCTATCTGTTATTAAAGCATAATTTCCATAGTTCACTTCACAGATTTAATAATTTCCTCATTGAATTGTCATTTATGAAGAAAGTCAGCATAATCATCTGTTTGATGCCTATCCCTAGGTATCACTTGAACTGGAGTTGTATCCATCTGTTATTTCTAGCTGCGAAACTGAATTGACTCTGAACTTCAGAGTGCAAATCGAATTTGCTGCCAAACCTTAAAATAATTTTGTCATTCCCTACATCTCAAAATTATCTTCTAATTAGTATACAGCTAATTAAATCATATTGACAAAACATGTCAAATCTCACTTTAAAGACTAATAGTATATAACCATAACCACAGCCAGGCCACCCTAGCCCATGTAATAAAGGTTGGAAGGTAGACATTTCCTTATCCTTTCTTACTAAGAAATTTTTCAGCCAAAATTTTTCTTAAGATTAAAAATAAGTCAGTTAATTACAGGTTTGTTCAAGGCTGTTGGAGGGCCAGCTCCAAGGGGCTCCAGTGCCTCTGGGCCTTCCTAGCATCTGTACTTGTATGTCCGTACACGAACACGGGCACATAGAAAAAAAAACAGTTCAAGCTTTATTTTTTCATAATTTCATAAATTAAAATGTTACAGGTGGGGCAAAAAAAGATGGCTCACCAGGTAAAGAGTGCTTACTGCTCTTCCAGAAGACGTCTGGGTCCCAGCCTTCATCAGGTGCCTTCCTACCAACTATTAACTGCAGTTCCATAGGTCCATCACTTTTAACCTTTATTCACTGTATTGAAAATTTTCATTCAGATCCATCATATATTTGACAACCTCTCACTAAAATTTAAAAATTACTTTTCTCCTGAGAGGGCAGTCCTGATACAAAAAACAAGAAAACAAAACAACAACAAACCCCCCCTCCTTTCAAGGAGCCTCATTTTATAGTGACATCTGTCGCTCATCTTTTGTGTTGTCTTCAGCATGGTGTTTCTTGTGTTAGCATTCAAACAAACCAACCGAATACTATGTTCTAGCTGCAAATTTCTTTTACAAAAAAATATTCCTTATCAATTATAATTTAACAGGGTGAGTTATAGGCAGTAACCAGAAACCTTAACAGAATCCTGCCTTGATTCCTAAAGATTCATGAAGGCTTATCATTGTTTTACAGTAAGTGACATTATGCATTGTTTTTCAAGAAAGGCTGACCATAGGAACATACAGATTAGCCAGACCATCATATTTTTCATACTTTTGCAAATAGATGCTATATCAGATCAGTAATAAATCTAATAATACTTTCTAATGGTTGGGAAAGGGTAGTGTTCCAGTACCAAGTACTTCCAAGGTAGTTCCAGATTCCATATATAACTTATGAAGAGCTAGTATTTACAGATTTTCTTTCATTCCTTTTGCTAACATATATTGAAAGTAATGCATATATTTTATCATATAGTCAGAAAATCTATTGTTTTTAAAAATAATACAATACACTGTGTAACATAGGAAAAAAATGTGCCATTCTTAAATCTTGGTATATTACCCAGAAGATGGCTAATATAGTAAAGTAAGAGTAAGAAATTCAAGAGATTCACCTCTCCATAGAAACACTAGAAAAACTGACAAAACTGCCAGTATCTGTTTCGCTGTAAGTTTGGAAAATAGGCTTATAGCAACCAAGCAAAAATTATAATTAAGCCACCAGCAACTAGACCCAATAGAATTAATAGAAGCATTACATCTTTCTTCTCTCTTTCTCTCTAATTCCCCACCAACCAAAGAACCCAGGGCCAGGTGGTTTTAGCAGAGTTCTACTAGACTTTGAAAGAGTTTACACTAACACTCCTCAAACTATTCCACAAAGTAAAAACAGAAGCAGCATTGCCAAACTCATTTTATGAGACTGCTATCACTCTGATACCCAAACCACACAAAGATTCAACAGTGAGAATTACAGAACCATTTCCCTCATACATGCAAAAATAATAAAATACTTTAAAACCAAATCCAAGAACACATCAAAATGATCATTGGCGAAGATCAACTAAGGCTTCATCACAGAGATGCAATGTAGGGATGCTTCAACATATGAAAATCTGTCAATGTGATTCATTATATGAACAAAGAAAGAAAACACAGAATGATCTTATTAGATGCTAAAAAGGCCCTTGGCAAAACCTAATATCCCTTCATGATAAAAGTCTTGAAAAGGTCAGAGATACAACGGAAGTACCTAAACATAATAAAGACAGCTTATAGTAAGTCTATAGCCAATACCAGTGGATTAAATGGAGAAAAACCCAAAGAAATTCCACTAAAATCCAGAACTAGGCAAATCTGTCCACTCTCTCCATATCTATTCAATATTGTACTTTAAGTTCTAGCTGGAGCAATAAAACAACTGAAGGAAAGTGAGGGGATGCAAATTGGAAAGGAAGAAGTCAAAGTATCAGTATTTGCAGTTATTATGACAGTATACATCTGTTACCCCAAAAATTCTACCAGTGAGTGTCCACATAAATTCTGATAAATACCTTCAGTTAAATAACAAAATACATATTTAAGATTAGCTCAAAATTTAAAAAAATTAAAAAATTTAAAAGTGGCCTTCCTATATATAAATGACAAAAGGGCTGAGAAAGAAATCAGGGAAACAACTTCCTTCACAATAGCTGCAAGTAATACAAAGTATATTAGAATAAATATTAAATAAATAGTAAATAGTAAATACTAAAATATTTTGCTAATCAAGCAAGTCAGAGACCTGTATGACATACACTTCAAGTCTCTGAAGAAAGAAATCGAAGAAGATATCAGAAGATGGCAAGATCTCCCATACTCATAGATTGGTAGGATGAACATAATAAAATTGGCCATCTTACCAAAAGTAAGCTACAAATCCAACATGATTCCCATCAAAATTCCAACTTAATATTTTACAGACCTTTAGAGTACAGTACTCAACTTTATATGAAGAAAAAAAAGATAACAGTCCTATACAATAAAAGAAGATCCAGAGATACCACGATCCCTGATTTCAAGCTGTTCTGCAGAACAATTTTAATAAGAACCACGTTGCATTGGCATAAAAATAGAAAGAATGATCCTGTATTCCAATCTAAGACCATAAATCCATAAACCTATAGACAGATACCTGATTTTTAATAAAGAAGCCAGAAATATACAATGGGAAAAAAGAAAGCATCTTCAACCAATGGTGCTGGTCTAACTGGATGTTAGTATGTAGAACAATGCAAATAAACTCATATCTATCACCCTGCACAAAATTCATGTCTAAATAGATCAAAGACTTCAACATAAAACCAGAAACAGTTAATGTGATAGAAAGTGGGGAATAGCCTTGAATGCATTGGCACAGGAGACAACGTTCTGAACAGAACACCAAATAGTACAGGCCCTAATCAACAATTAAGTAGGACCTCAAAACTGAAAAGCTTTTATTTGGCAAAAGACACCATCGATTAGGCTGAACAACAACCTACAGAATGGCAAAAGATTTTCCCCAAACTCCACATCTGACAGAGGGCTAATATCCAAAATATGTAAAGAACTCAAGAAAACTATACATCAACAAACTGAATAACCCAGTACAGATATAAAATATAAGCAGAATTCTCAACAGAGGAATCTAATGGCCAAGGAACACTTAAATGTTCAACATTAGGAAAATGCAAATCAAAACTGAGATTCTCTATTAGAATGGCTAAGATAAAAAACACAAATGACAGTTCTTGCTGGTGAAGACATAGAGCAAGGGGAATTCTCGATTGCTAATAGTAGTGGACTACTTAAACAACCACATTGCAAATCAGTATGGCAGTTTCTCAGAAAATTGGGAATCAATCTACCTCAAGACCCAGCCAGACCAGTCCACAGCATATACCCAGGATATTCCATCCTACCACAAGGACACTTGCTCAACTATGTTCATCATAGCTTTATAATACCCAGAAGCTAGAAACAACATAGTTGTCCCTCAACCAAAGAATTGATAAAGAAAAGCAAATGTTCCATTTACTCGGCTATTAGAAAAACAATAACATCATGAAATTTG